ATACCAAAACCTTGATATGCATTAACCAAATCACCTATGGATTTAACCTGCTAATTATCCTTGTGATATTATGGACTTTTCCAATAATTAGTTAAAGGTTTTAGTCCTCGACTTCATATCATACTTTAACATTAAATAAGGATCTATAGGAGATTCAACAACTCACTCCAAGAGATAACACCTATTCAAGGAGATTTTTTCAACAACTGGGCTCATAAAGCACCATACCAATATCTACACTATGGGATATCTAACTTTCGAAAACACTCTTTTCTCTAGTCCTAAGTCGATCAACATGTTTAAATGCTATTACATTCTCAACATTAACACCTCAACATGTGAACAATATTCAACATATCATGCCTAAATGCCTAAAGTATTCTGAATATCACACCTCAACAATTCAACAATTATAAACATCTATACATATTATCTTAGATCAATATATATAGAACTAATAACATCCATTAACACCAACATGCAATATATTCTTCTAACCTATTCATGTTCACCATTTCACCAATCAAATAACAAGAGTTTTCAAAATAAATTTCCCTTGGTGCATGCACCCTATGCCCGACGCCATTGATGTAGGGGGTTCTCTACCTTGCCCACACCCAATGCCACTCAACTTGTGGCCAACGTGGAAGAGGTAGGGAACTCCTAGACCCTCATGCTTGACATGGAAAAAATCCATGCTCGACCACATTTCAAGTAGAGATGAGTCTCTTTTTTCACGCTCAGGGCCACTCCTTTGCTACTTGGTGTTAATGCAAGCAAAATCAATTCTCTTACCTCACACTAGGTTTTATTCAAACCACGTTCGACGTGACCAAGTTAAAGATTTTTCTCTCTCCTCATGTTTGATGCCACCAATTATGTGGCCATGTGAGCAACACAAAGACCCCTTGATTTGAGTCACCCTCGGTGCCATAAAGGTGCACTCGGTGCAATGATGAGTTTTGCATTTTCAAACTCACGTATTTGGCTCAAACTACCTAAAATCCAAAAGATACCAACATGCATTACAATATATCATTCAAGTACATCATCAACATCTAATTTTACAATAGAATAGTAACATGCAACAACAATTAAAATCACTCACCAAATATTCACCTTCATGGCTCAAAACACCAAAACTCAACCCTTATACATTCAATCCAAATTTAACCAATACAACTATATTTTGATGACAACCAAACAACATATAATTCATGCAATTCCATATAAACAAGGTTCTAGCTCCCTATACCTCAAGTCTAAGCAAAAAAGATGGAAAAAGGAAGAATAAATGAGCTTCTTTGAGAACTCTACACAACTCTTCAAAGGCTTCGGTTCTCAATTCTATGACTTTGAATCACTAACACGACAACTCAAGATCTTTAGAAAGGACTCAAAGATCTGCTGTGGAATCAAAAGGAAGAAAAGTCACCTCCTGGTTCCAAAGCATCCCACTCTACTCTTTCTGTAAGGTTTTTAGAGGAAATGAGTTTATTAAGCTCAATTTTTAAAAGAAATCTTATATACTTTTCCCTCAGGATCAAATTGAACCTCTGCCTAAAGAAACCCTCCAAACACCTAAAAACTTCTCAGGTGTTCTTTAATTCCAAGAGTCTCTCAACAACACACCTCAAAACATCACAACACATAATTATTGATAAAAATAAAAAAAAAAAATTAACAAAAACTTATAGTGCTACACTAACATTCAGTGTCATTCAACTCGTGCCCGCACGTGGCTGAGATTAAAAACCTTTGAGACAATCACGTCTAGCATGGTCAAATTCCACACTTAACATCATTTCAGGAAAATAGTCTTTGCCTAACTTACATCCAACATCACTCTATTGGCGTTCGACATCAATTTAAGTAGAGATGATTCTCTTGCCTCAAGCTTGGCACCATTCAACTTAATGCCTAGTGTGACCAAGTTAGAGGCAAATCTCTATTCTCACGCTCGACTCCACCAATCCTATGCTTGGTGTGAGTAAAACAGAGGGCTTTGATTTAAGCCACGCTCGATGCCATGAAGGTGTGTCTGATGTCATGGTGAATTTTGCTCTTGCAGATTCACGAAATCGCTATTTTCACTTGAAAATAAGAAAATTTCCAACATACAACATACAACAACACATCCATACACCTCAAATAACTTACAAACAACTCATTTCCAACAAAAAATTCAACATACAGCCATTTTTGACCAAAAAATATCAAATTTCCCCTCACTAACCTTTTTAACAACAAAAACTCACATTCTCAATTCAATTAACATAATCACCAAGGCATGAAAATCAAGCAACCATCCAAGAGAAAATCAACATAAATAACTCAAAATCAAAAGGATCAAATCTAACTTCTTTTACCTCAAATTTGAAGAGAACAAAGAAGAAGGGAGGAGAAGAAATGATTCTGAGCTCCGAGCTAAATTCTAGGAAGCTTTGCACAACATAACCTTGACTCTTAACTTTCGGCTTTGAATCAATAACTCTATTGATCAACAATGATCTCCTACGCACTTGGGAAGGCTAAAAAGAAGGAAAGAATAGTTAGAGTTCCAGAGCCCTTCTTACTAGTTTATCACTCTAAGTTTTTTTTTTTTTTTTTCGAGAAATGAGCTTATGAAGCTTAAGTTTCAAAGGAAATTTTATATACCTCCCCCTTTAAGATCAAATTTGTCCTTTGCCTAAAGAAATTATCTAAATCACCTAAACTCACGAGAATTCCTTAATTCACATAGTTTCTCAATCATAACACCTCAAAACACAACAGATAATTATTGAAAAAAAACAACAATTATTAACAAAAGCATACAATGTTACATTTAAACCAAAAACTTTTTGCATATTATCTAAATTGGTCACCACTTGGTCTACTTTAGTGGTTTGATAGTTTTGAATTTGAATATTGATCGAGCAAATTTATGGAATATTATAAAAGATAATTTGTTGATATATAATTAACACACACACACACACACATATATATATATATATGCATGTTGTCTCTTATTTCCTAACTTACCCTTATGTGCTTCTATGTGGTTTGGACTGCGATGATCATATGTGGTATGAAAGTAAGGTAGGTATAAGACTAAACTTCTATATTAAGAATTCTATTAACTTTTCGTCTAATTTAATTTTTATTTATCATATTTATAAATTAAATTTTAATAATTTTAAAATTAATTATCAATTATTTGAAAGAATTTTGTGTCACAATATAATTTATTTATTATAAACCTAAAATATATTTTATATGTTTACAAATATCTATTTATACAAAATTTATATATTCAAATATAGTATTTTTTTGTTGAAAGCCCTTTTTAGAAAGTTGACCTTTGAAATGGATAGTTGTATTTTCTCTAGGACCTTAGTTGATGCGATATATGGACCAGGTCGAGGCATATCGACCATTGTATATTTGTATGTGTGTAAGGTTGATGCATACAAGTATAAAGAGACCAAATTAGAGTAAGGTACAAGGCCAGGAGTTAAAATTCCTAACTAAGTATTAGAAGGATGTAATATTTAGAGGACAATTGATGAGTTAATCTTATAGGTGGCTTAGTTATCCTAGCTAATGCCGTGGTAGACTCACACTCAAGTTGTTCTACTTAACAGGAATACTAGACTTCCTAGTTTAAGTGACAAAATATGATAAATAATGTTGTTTGTTGGTTTTTATCCAAATTGACCATTGATCTAACGGGATTGAAAAGATCAAATTGTTGATTTAGTAGAGTCAAGCCACTTAGATTACTCATATGTGTTGTAGAAGATCTCCTTGCTGAAATGCATGACGATGCATATAATTGTTGTATCGGGTATATGATGTATTGACTGAGTTATGTTGTTCATATGCTATGTTGAGTTGTGATGAGTTACATAGAGGTGTTGTTTTCACATTGTTCAATTTGAAGAACATGTTGTATTGTGTTGAAAAGTTGTAAGTTGATATTATGTTGAATTAAGTTGAATTGTTTATGTTGATAGTATAGTTGTTGTTGTTGTTGGTTTTTTTTTTTTTTTTTTTTTTTTTTTTACTTCTATACTGATTATATTGATTTCTTTGAATTCTAGCTAACCCTTGCATGTTTTCATGTAATTGGACTACGATGATCATATTTAATATGATAGTAGAGTAGTGGTAAGCTATCTGATGGAGCTCCTTGGAGACCAAGTTGCTGGGGGTGCCGATTTTTGAGCTACCTTGGAGTAGCTAGCCTAATAATTGTTAGTTGTTGCTTGACCAACAACCTATAGTTTTTGAATTACAATTTATAGACATATACTTGTATAATATTTTAATCGTTGGTATATATATATATATTGTATATCTTGAAATTATTATATATTAATCTTAGGTAAAAATACATATATTTTTCACTGCTAATTGTAAACTGTTAAGAGTAGGGACCTATCAACAACTAATAATAGAGAGAACATCTATATTTAATATACATATATTTTTAATAGATAACTTGGTCAATTAACTAATACCAAAAATTACTCTGTTGACCACTCTTCAAATAAAATCATATTATATTTTAATTAAAAAAACTCAACTACATAGAGCACCAAATGTCTATTTTTATTTTATTTTATTTTTAATTTTATTATCATTTTTTGATTTTTATTTTTTTAAAAATAATATCAAATAAAAAAGTTATAAAACTAATTTTGTGATGAACTTTATTCAAAATCAATTTTATAGTAAATTAATCAAATTGGATAAAGGAAAATTAGATTAGTTTCAACAATCAATTTAGTTTAAGTTGAGGCAGTACTGTGCTCTATTCTCTTAACTAATTTTTGATGATATACTGAGCCGATTTTCTTTTTAAATAAAAAATATTTTTGGTAAGACGAAGATAAATAAAAAAGAATTAAGTTTTGAATTTCATGGAGAATTGGAATCAGAATAAGAATAAAAATAAAATTCCATGGTAGGCGAAGGTGGTAATTATGTAGAAAAAATGGGGTCCATTTACCAACGAAGAGTGCATATAAACCAAACCAAATGAGAGTAGTAGCACAAAACCTTTCACTCGGATCAGTTGGATGTTAGCAATAAATTACTCTCACCTTCTATTTCCGGGCACCTCTGTCATTTTCTCAAACTCTTCTGTTCAACAGGTATGTTTTGGAATCAGCATTTGGCTATTTGCTACAACTATAATTTTGATGCAATCTGCTCCTGCAATCTTTGCCTTTTCCTTTTCCTGTTGGATCTGGATTTGGTTGTGGAAAACCCATTAGTGAATTAAGGCTGTGGTTGCTGGGGGTGTATTTTTTGCACAGTGGTGAAGTGGGTGAGCATAAAGTTAGCTTTTTAAACTTTATTTATTATTTTATTTTCTTGGGTTGGTAGTTGCATTGGAGGGTGTTTCTTCTTGTTTGATTTCTGTCTATGATGTTTTGTTCACTTGGTTAGTGAAACTTGAATCATTGCTGTTGGCTTCTTTGTTGAATGGATTGTCCTGAGTGGGTGAACATAATGTGTGTTTGATGCATATGCTGGAAAAAGTGATATGATGTGTTTTATTGTTTAGTATTTGCTCTTATCTATTCATAATATTAATAGAAAAGGGCAAAATGAAAGTGGATTTATAATCTTTTGTGTTTTACTTAAGGAATTGGGGGTGCTTAGTTTATTCATAGGGTTTTGGGTAGATTTAAGAAAATGGTGCAAGGTGTTGCGAGAAACCTTTGTATTCCCTTGGTGTATATATGCTTTGAATAGCCTTAGATAATTTGCAATTACTCAAAATGGTATCAAATTACCAAGGTCCAAAAATGGGTGTTCCACTGCAATGACACTGGAAGAGAAAGGAATAGCATGCGACTTAGTCTTTTTTAGTCAATGCAAGGTCATGATATGCAAAAAGAAAAAAAGCAATTCTATTTTCTAGTCTTTTATTAGTAATGAATACTGAATAGTGACCAAAAGTCTAAAATGGTTGACTTGATCCAATCAAACACCTTGTGAAACTTGATGTGAATGCCTTTTCAGATGGTAGCAAGCTTTATAAACTCTCCTCATCTTTAGTACATTTATATTTGTGTGTATCCAAATATGTACGCTAAAGTCGGTTGAAAAGTGGTTAATCTGTTGCATAACTAACTGCCACTGGCATAAGTTAGTTATGTCTAGTTTAGCTTCTAAGTTCTTATCACTATATGTACTAGAATCATACTAGAACTAGTTTATTTTTTCTTTTGTTCTCTTTCTGTTATTTTTAATCATTATTTTTACCAGGTTTTTGCCAATGGATGCTAAGGCAGCTGTAGATTTAATGGAGTCTTCCTCTGAGGTTCATTTTTCTGGATTTCACATGGATGGTTTTGAGCAAAGAAAGGCTATCATAGAACAACCAACAACCTCTGAAACTGACATGTATAAACAACCATTTGTCATAGGTATGTTTTCTTATGGAAAAATGCCAAATAAGTTCATCTGAGGCCTTGAAGTTGTCTTGCTGAGCATTTGAATAATGTCACTACTGTTAAAGCACAATTTTGTGTTAGTTGTAACAGAGTTTCTTTGCTTGAAACATGTGTCTTTGTAAGAAAATCGATCTACTCAGGCCAGAATTCATGTCTTCTGTGAAAAGAAATCACAAATTAAATTTCATATTTAATATGTGTGTGAGTTCTAGTATCATAATATCATTTCACCTAATATCAATGTTATACAATCATTTTATGCTTTGCAAATTCTGTTAATTAAAATAGCATGTTATGTTAATTGAATATAGCTTACCTCATACTTCGTGATGTCCTATGTTTGGACACCTTGTTTTCAATTCTTACAACTTTTCTTTTATCTTAATGATTCTAACTTATTTTTGTCGCATGATGCAGGTGTTGCTGGGGGTGCAGCATCTGGCAAGACACAAGTTTGTGACATGATTATTCAGCAGCTTCATGACCAACGAGTTGTACTTGTTAATCAGGTGTTGAATTCTTTCTATTTATACTTGTTGATGATCAAATTGTGTATCTTAAGATTTACTATTTGTGACTTAAAAGGATGAATGAATTGTGCTTCAGGTTCAGGCCCCATGTTGCATCCTGTTCTCTTCATTATCTTAACCATGGTAGTTGAATTGAGATTCAAATCATGAATTAGTCGGCTTATTTTCCAAATTGTGAATCGAACTGTATCATGAATTGTAAGACTCATGATCAATAATAAAACATAGCTATCCAACAAACATACACAAATTGATGATAATAACTGGAACAACATCAATATAGGAGCATTTTAACATAAAGAAACTTATCAAAGATCAAAACACATGCATATATATATATATGTGTGTGTGTGTATTAGCATTATGAAATCAAATAGCTGACGAAGTGACCACCAAGCTTGCACGAGCCACGAGTAGTGGAAAAGACCAAAATCAGCACAATAAAATAGTGTGAAAGATGAGACACGCACAAAGCACAGGGGGGCAGATTGGGAAAGGCAAAGAAAACTAGTAGACAGGAAGAAATAGACAAAAGAGAGTACAGGAAGAAATAGGCAAAATGCGATTCAGATGATTCATTCACGATTTAGGCGATTCATGGTGCAATTCAACCACCAGAACAATTCATTCATCTATTTGCATCACATGTAATGTGAATCATATTGTGTATCATGGGATTCATACCGATAACAATGACCTAAATCCCCTAGGGGATTTATTTTCCTAATGATATTCAAAGAATTTTAAGGAATACTTTTATTATAATTATTGTAAAGTTGACCCCACTTATAAGTTATAACACATCAAAATCTGTTTATTTGATTAGTTTTAGACTTTTAGTATGTTTCTAATTCTCTCCTTTACCTTCTCTTCTATTAAGTCATGCCTCTTTTTTCTTAAATTTCCTTGCAAGATGTCATTACATAAAGATATTATACACCATTATTTGGGCAATATAGTTAAAATATACTTTGGTTATCTATTATTTGTCATTCATGTCGTTGATATTAATTGTTCCTTTGTTCCATTTGTCTTATTTTACTTTTTTGGTGGCATGTTTCAAAATTTGGGCTACATGTTTCTTATTGTACTTTTATTGATACATCAAATTTAATAAAATAAACTATTTATGACAGGATTCTTTTTACAATAACTTGACGGAGGAGGAACGTACAAGGGTACAAGATTACAACTTTGATCATCCTGGTCAGTACTATTATACTTCTTTGTCTGTCAGTATTACTGACTTTCTCTTGATATTAAGGTATCATAAAGGATGAAATATTCCATGACCCTGTCAGTTTTTATTAAAATGCGTTTTGAGAATGATGTTCCGAGACCTTAATATATTCAAATATTTTAGTCATTCTAGTAAACTAATTAATCATGAACTCATTAACTAAAGCTATGCGTTAGTAAACTAAAATATTTTTGAAAATTGATAGGGTAGGGTAGCAAGATAAGAGAAAATACATGACATTTTCTTAATGAAAATTTGTGAATGTTCTTGTACTTCTATTATGATGTTTAATCAGATGCTTTTGATATTGGGGAATTGCTACGTGTTATGGACAAGTTGAAGCATGGTGAAGCAGTAGATATTCCAAAGTATGATTTTAAGAGTTACAAGAGTGATGTGTTACGAAGGGTATATCTCTGGAACTTCCATTTTTTATTAGCAGATTTATGCCGTCTCTTAAAATGCTAATTAAACAGCTTAATATTGATATACTACTTGTTAAGCTGCAAATATCACGTAACAGAAAATCTTTCTTCTTTTAGTGCAAATAATATAAAGTATATTTTAGATGATACTCTAAATGGATATTTTTAGCCTAGTTTTACATGCAAAGTTGTTGTCGTTCTCATTTCATTTTGTGTTGCTTTAATGTGTTTTCAGGTGAACCCTTCAGATGTTATTATTTTGGAAGGCATCCTTGTTTTCCATGATCCACGTGTTCGGGAGTTGATGAATATGAAGATATTTGTCGATACAGGTCTTTTATTATTGTTTTTTCATCTTTAACCCATAATTTATTTATTGTAAGTTTTGTGTTGCATTTGTTAATTTATATGGAACATGTCATTATATTTCATTCTCTTTTCATCTCATGGAATTAGTGCTCTCCTCCCCCCCCCCTCCTCCCCCCCGATCCACTTCATTATATAGGAAAATTCATATTCTCCATGTTGTTCAATATCATTTAAGAAATTTGGAGGATTAAAGGTACTATGACTCTATTATATTTTGACCTATCTTTGTATTTGTTAACCTTTTCATTTATTTGTTGGTTTTTATTTTTTTATTTTACCTATGTGCATCTTCTAGTTATTTTATAAGCCTGTATATAAACTTTATGTTTAAAATTTGTTAAATTAGTTTTATATTGTTATTCAATTCATACTTCTACTTGTTACCTACGCGTCTTTATTGAAATACTCAGTTAAGCTGTCACTTTACATTTTAAAATGTTCAGTGCAGATGCTGATGTTCGTTTGGCAAGAAGGATTAGGCGTGATACTACTGAGAAGGGCCGGGATATTGGAGCAGTTCTTGATCAGGTAGCAATTTTCTGCCACACCATTTGTTCCACCATTTTCATATTTTGACATTTCTCGCTTCTTTTTTACCTTGATCTTTTTTACTTCATTGCAAGACTTGGGAAGTCTTATTTTAGTTTCAAGCTGATGATTAGCTACTTTGCAAATTCCTCAATGTTGACACTTATGATCATTCATTCATATGGAAATAGGTCATTAGAGATTGTTTTTTGTGTCTACAATAACACTAATCAAGCTTTCATGTTCTTCATCAAATTTTGATCGCTAATGTCTACCATTTAATAGATATTTACAGCTGATTATTCTTATGTAATACTTGTTGCAGTATTCAAAATTTGTGAAGCCAGCTTTTGATGACTTTATTCTTCCAACAAAGAAGTATGCTGATATAATTATACCACGTGGAGGGGACAATCATGTGGCAATTGATTTGATTGTACAGCATATCCGTACAAAGCTTGGTCAGCATGACCTGTGTAAAATATATCCGAATTTATACGTCATTCACTCAACTTTTCAGGTACCCCCACAATTTATGGACCTTTACAATCATCCCACTTAGAACTTCAGATTTTGATTTTGTCATAAAAGTTGAATCATCTTGATAATTGCTACTATGCAGATACGGGGAATGCATACCCTAATTCGTGACGCCCAGACCACAAAACATGATTTTGTATTTTACTCTGATCGTTTGATTCGATTGGTAAGTAAATGGGTTTCTCTCTCTCTCTCTCTCTCTCTCTCTTTTATTTTTATTTTTTTAAATCAGTGGCGATATGCCAATTTCTTTAATTATCACTGATCATGATTCCTGCACTTGACCAGGTAGTAGAACATGGTTTGGGTCATCTGCCATTTACAGAAAAGCAAGTAATCACTCCTACTGGTAACCTTTTCTTTTCAATACTTTTCTTGTAAGATTATTGTAATGTACAAGTTTTATGTGCTATTTTTAATGTTTTTGATCCTTGCAGCTAAAGGACTTAGCTGAATATGTTGACTTCCTTAGCTTGTTTTATACCTGCCACTGTACTTGCTCCATTCTCTTCTATGGATAATGTGTACATTGGATGTCTAGTTTCTTTTGTGCTGGTGTATTGTGACAAATGAGTAGTACGAATGTCTATGACTATTGTTTGTTTGTTTTGTTTTTGGTGTTAAATTTTCATTAACCTATGTCTTTAATGCTCTAGTCTTGGTAGAGGTTCTATTCTACTATTAGTCATTGGAATTGATTCAATAAAGTCAGCATTCTTATAGGCTCTCTGACGATTTACTTTTTCAAGCCTCCACCTGTTATGAAATCATGGTATGATGACATGATACTGCACTATGTGAAATCATGTAGAAAGGAGACTGCAAATAATTGATGCATTTTGACTTCCATGTCAAGGAACTTTTGTTGATAATGTGAACCAAATGTTCATGTTGTAGTACTTGTCTACTTGATAGATGTGTTGTTTTTTCCATGATGTTAATTGTAACAGTTGTCATGCTGAGTTAAAAGCTTTTGCATACGTGGCTATGTGGTTGTCGTTACTCATTCTTGTTCATCTATTTACTAAAAAGAGTTTGTTTGTTCATGTTTGAATCTTTTTAAGGTAACTGTTGATTCATGTTCTCAAATGCAGGTTCTGTATACACTGGTGTGGATTTTTGCAAAAGGTTGTGTGGTGTCTCTGTTATCAGAAGGTATTAGTTTAGTATAAAGCTGGAGCTGTTAGGATCCTTTCTCTCAAGCCTAACAGGGAGCCAATTGGGCATTTGATTGAATATTTTCATCATTGCTTCCAAGAATTGACTAAAATGTTTTTTCTTGATTGATTTTGAATAATTCAATAAATATAAATAAAAAATTGTTGATTTGGGTTTTAGAAGTATCAAATGCATTGAATTAGGGTGGACTTACATCTCTGCAGTTTATAATTTTTTATTTAGAAATATATTTTCCATTATCATGATCAGTATCTGCTGATTTCAGTGGGGAGAGCATGGAGAATGCTTTAAGAGCATGCTGTAAAGGTATCAAGATTGGGAAAATTTTAATTCACAGAGAAGGTGACAATGGTCAGCAGGTTTGTCCATCTGCAATTATGATTTGGTTCATATTTCTGTTTCATTCCTTGGTACTGATATCTTATCCTTTGGCCAATGAACAGCTAATATATGAAAAGTTGCCAAATGATATCTCCGATAGGCATGTGTTGCTGTTGGACCCTATACTTGGCACAGGTTTGTCATTCTCTTATTTTGTTTTCATGCTTGTTTTGAAGTGTCAGGTGTATGCAGCCTATTTTCACTTCAAGTTAAAATTGCATTAGCATATTGACGTTTGGTTGTTAGTTTTCATTTTATTTTTCATCAGACAAAATTACAATAGTAACAGGATTCGAACTTCAGATCCTGTGCTTCCTATTTCAATCTTCTACTATTAAGCTGACCCTAGTAATTCTATTAGTTTTCATTTGAATTAACCTTGGAAAATTTTCATGCTTAGGTAATTCGGCTGTGCAAGCGATTTCTTTACTCATAAGAAAGGGTGTACCAGAGTCCAACATTATATTTCTTAATCTCATATCTGTGAGTTACCGATGCCTTAGTTCCTCTATGTCCCTTCCTCTTTTTACCTTTTTAATGTGGTTTTCTCTATGCTTCTTTCTTATAATATGTCATTTAGATGACTTGCATTTATCCTTGCACCATTTTAGGCACCTAAAGGGGTTCATGTGGTATGCAAAAGTTTCCCAAGAATAAAGATAGTGACATCTGAGATTGAGATGGGTTTGAATGAAGATTTCCGTGTCATACCTGGCATGGGCGAGTTTGGAGATAGGTACTTTGGAACAGATGATGATGTTGAGCAAGTGGTTTCTTCTCCGTAGTTATATTTATAGTTATAGTTGAGCAGAACAGAATCCATAATCTACTCAACAAAAAAGGTTGAAATTTGCTCTATTACATCACTATTTTACTGGTGTCTGAATCTTAGTTCTACATCAATTTTGACTTCATTGGACCTTGGATCAGCATTATATTATCCTTGTCTTTATTTGGGACTTAGAAATTTTCATGCTTCCTTTACTACATAATTTTTCTTTAAACTTGTGTTGATTTGTTATTTTGGATACTTGCTAATGGAGATACATATTCACAAACCTACCATGTACATATAAAATTTAATGATAGATTGCATCTTTGGAAGCCTATGTTTGGTTTGGCTAAGATACTATATATTGTTAATAGTTATGTGTCTGCCTCGTCTGAAGTTTCATGAAATTGTGTCCACATTTATTTTTCCTTTCTCGTTTCTTGTAACCTTTCTTAAAAGGGTTGCGGTATCATGTTTTTCAAATAATTAAGAGAAGTTAATGTAATATATAATAGGTGTTAGTGTAATGTTTTTCTAACAATTAATAATAGTTATCGTGGGGCTAAATAAAGTAAGAGTGCTTATATGGTTTTACAAAACATGAATAGTGTAATGTTTTTCTAACAATTAATAATAGTTATCGTGGGGCTAAATAAAGTAAGAGTGCTTATATGGTTTTACAAAACATGAAGGGTGTTAATATAATTTACTCTTTAGTTATTTGTTGATTAGCAAATAGCAATTATTTGTACTGTTTTACACTATGCAAATTGCAAAGTATAGACAGATCATATTAATTAGTTAAGGTTTAATTGTGATACAGTGTTCAAAATTATATAAAACCAACTAATTAGAAATCTTGATTTTTATAAATTTTATGGCAATTATTGTAAGTTAACAAACTTATCTAAATTCAACCGTAAATTTTAATTGAATGATAATGTAAAATTATTTTACATATACCATTAAACCTATTAGTTAAAGGTAAAAGTAATGTCATCATAATTACATTACTAATTTCTTATCTTAAGAAAAGCAATAAAAATGTTGGAATCAATATATGAAATGTATCGTTACAAATTTCCTGGGACATCATTTGTGACCCAAAAGAGACTGTTTTAGGAAGGAATGTTCGAGTTGCAATGGTGAATGCCACATCACACTTTTGGTAACATATGAATCACATATAGAAATCCGCAATTCTTTAAATTTATTAAGTGAAAGAAAGTATTTTATATCCTTTATAAAATTCTAAAAGCATCAGGAATCTAGTTTTGATCTTGTTAGCCTCGATCAAGCTAATCATTAATAAGTGAAAGAAATCATTATATCTTTGTTAATAAAACTAGAAACATTAGGAATTTAGTTCTGAACATGTAAGCATTGATCAAGGCTTTCGGCCCCCTAATATGATGGAATATATATATTTTTGTTGATAGTTTTGACAGAAAGGTTATGGGATTTGGTTTGAGAAAGGATGTTCAACTTTTTAAGGGTATCATGCCTCCTACTATGGCATTTTTTTCTTTCAAAATTTTAAGGTGTTTTTAAAATAAAATTTAAAACTTCACCAATCTCATTATGTTAACTGTCTACTTAGTATTTTGAACAACAAATCCTTTCTCTATGGAAATAGTTACATTCAGGTTTAAATATGCTTCTGGTTACAATATAACATTTTTATTTTATAGTTTTGGTTCTTGTAATTTTTAAAATTAATCTTGTTAAATTTATTTTTTTATTAGTTCTTGTGATTTTATTTTAGTGTTTATAATATATTTTAATTTTAATTTTAGTTCTTATAATATCTTATTTATTTTGAGTTATTTCCTTTTAAAAAATTATTAGAAACTAAAAGCATATGTTCACATATTATAAGGACAAAAACAAAGCAATAAGTATAACACAAGAACAAAAATAAGAATAACAAAGACCGAAATCAAAAAGAGTAATTTTACAAAGATCATTTTAAAAAATAATTTTATAAGGAGTAAAATAAAATATAGTGAATTATAAAGACTAAATATTAATTTAGGACTATATTAAATGAAAGTGTTTTTAGGAGTTGTTATTCAATAATAAAATTTATTTTTGGGGTTTCTTTTTCAACAAAGATATTTTAGGAACTTTTTCCTAATCTTTTATATCTTACAATTTATCTTTTTTTTTTTGGCTTTATTGTGAAGTTAAAATTTAATATTTAAAATAATTATTAACAGCTAAAAATAATAATGTAAAGTGTTTATTAAAAATAAAAAAATTATTTTTTATGTCCACAATTGATTATATACTACAAATTTTAAATATGATGTAATTTATATTTTAAAAGTATTTATCTATTATGAATTTTAATTATATGAATAAAAAATTGACTTAAATATAATGAGTTTTGGTTTTGATCCCTGTAAAATTTTTTCTTTATTTTTCAACTTATAAAACTTGTAAACATTGTTTTTAGTCCGTGTGAAATGAATTTTTTTTTGGTTTTGGTTCCAATAAAATATTTTTATTAGATTTTTATCCTTCTAAAATTTAAAGTCATTAGTTTTGCCCCTAATAGTCATTTTAAGGTATCTGTATAATGTTACATCCATCCCTAATTATAAGACTATTTCAACTAAATTACATCCTTTAAGAAAACTAGTTAATTTAGTTTAGAACATTAAATTGCTCAATAATTTAAATTACCTTTTTAAAAATATTCTTAACATCTCTTAAATTAACATTATCTTTTTTCACTTAATCATTTAACATCTAATTAATTAATATTTGGAAAAGAGAGATATCGAATCCTAATAATAGAGATAAATTTTTATCCAATTAACTTCAATAATTTATTATCCTTTTTCTAAAAGAATTGTTAATTAAATAAGGATATTTTTGTAACACCCCAATTTTTAAAAAGGTTATTATTATTAT